AAGCTGTCTGCGGACAAACGCTGGCTTCCTCAGCCAGTAAAGCGAGATGAGCGCCACAATCACAGAGTCGTCCGTGACTGGACCTAACGGTCAGGGGTCCCTTTACATTCTGCAGATGTAAATGGCTTTAGATACCTATTAGGTCCATAAATTACCATATAGCATATCTTCAACAGAAAAAACAGGGACAATTTGTTGTTGACAAAGGACAGCTGGACATATAAAGGGCCCCATTACCTTCAGTAGCTTAGGCCTCATGAAACCCAAATCTGCCCTTACATGCATGGAATAGTCATTGCTGGTAAGCAACTCTCTTGAGAGGAAAACCAGGAAACCTCTTTCTACGGGGTTAGACCCTTTGGTCTACTGTATCTAACTCAGCATTGTCTCCAAAACTTCGCAGTGGGAGCACACTGAATGTGGACTAAGGTCTTCCTTGACGTGCCGCCCCCCCTCCCCGTGCCACCCTCAAAACTAGTAACAAATGAGTTGTCACGTAGCCAATCAGATCTTAACTTTTATGTTGAAATCAATCACATTTAAAAGAGCTCAACTTTGACTGGATTTGTGCCTATTGTGTTACCACAATAATAAGACATTTAATCTACACAGAGTATTATACTTCATTCGCAGTCATTATGCAGCACAGTTTCCACTGGACCCACCAGAAGCGTTCAAGTTGACTTGAAGCCAAGTCCCTTTTCGAGACAAAAGCAGGCATTATGTACATTGTTTCAGTTCAAAGGCAACCTTCCCCATTTAGGGAGCTAACGATCGCTTCAAAGGTTTTGAAGTTTAACCTAGCTCAAACATGCTAAGCTTAACTGACAGCTTCCTCTGCAAACAATCAGTTCAATTGCTTTCCCTGACCTGCATTTGGTGGTTCGTGTAGAAAACGGATCACAGAATCATCCATTTGTGCTGCTTCTTCACCAACTGTTCACCAAATTGGGATGTGTTAAGAGGTATGAGCACTTAAACAATATCTATTACACTGGTCAACAACAAATTTGTTGTCTGTGTTTTTTCAGTTGATTTAGGACAAATCTGATGCGCTGAATCCAAAAATCACATTGGTTTTGCTCAATCAGGTCAAGTTTTTGAGCTATGACCACATGTCATTTTTTTTACGTTTTTGTTCACATGTATGCTTGTGTGGAGCATTTTAGAAGTTGGTGGGGGTAAAATGCCATGTCGAATAATTGTTTTGATTCGAAATGATTATTTTAATGACAAGAAGTATTCAGGTCCGATAGTTCTGGGTGATTATGTCGAAAGGGGATCAGTTTGAAGTCATAAAACCTTGAAATCTTCCATAAATTGGTGCGCTGTTGATGTGACTGGAATCAACAGAAAGAACTGGAGCAGCCTCAAGTATCCTGATCTTCAATCAGCATGTCGTCCTGTAGCTCATTGTGATGAAATTCCAGTGCCTATCTTCAGAGAACTTCCTGACATTAGTGACGAAGATGCCTCCAGTGTTGAAGGACATGAAGAAGAAGAAGAGGTTCTTGAAGATGATGTTCCACATCCATTTTCCCAAAAGGAGTTGAATGATCTACTTCGCGACCTCAGCTTGTCAAAGGACTCTGCTGAACTGTTGGCATCCAGATTGAAGGGAAAAAACCTCGTCTCTGACAGTGCTCGCATCAGCTTCTTCCGCAACAGGCATCAAGAGTACCTCCGTTTTTTCTTGGAAGAGAAGGACTTGGTGTACTGTGCAGATATTGCGCAGCTTCTGCTCAAGCTTGGAGTGCCATAGTACGAACCCAAAGATTGGAGACTGTTCATTGACAGCAGCAAGCGATCACTGAAATGTGTTCTGCTACACAACGGCAACCAGTTTGCCTCTATACCCCTGGCTCACTCGACTACACTGAAGGAGAACTATGAAACAGTGGTATGTGCTGGAGAAAATTGGTTATGATCAGCACAAGTGGTTTATTTGTGTTGACCTGAAGATGGTGAACGTTTTGTTGGGACAACAGTCTGGCTTCACCAAGTACCCTGTTTTCTGTGCATGTGGGATAGTAGGGACTGTGCTCAGCATTACACGAAGAAGAACTGGCCTGTGCGGGAGGAATTGGTGCCTTGCAAAGAAAGGAACGTCATCAACGACCCTCTGGTGGACAGAGACAGAATACTCTTCCCACCGCTGCACATCAATGGCTTAATCAAGCAGTTCACCAGGGCTCTGGACAAGGATGGTGACTGCTTCACTTACTTGTGCCAGGCTTTTCCAGGATTGACCATGGAGAAGTTGAAAGCTGGCATCTTTGACAGTCCTCAGATCCATCAGCTCATCAGAGATCCAGAGTTCGGAAACTCAATGAACGAAGTGGAACTGGAAGCGTGGAAGGCATTTGTTCTGGTAGTGAAGAACTTTCTTGGCAACAATAAGGTCAGAAACTACGCAGAACTTGTCAACAACATGCTGACTGCTTTCAGAAACCTGGGCTGCAACATAAGCGTCAAGATGCACTACCTATTTTCACATATGGACTGGTTTCCTGAGAACCTGGGTTCAGTGAGTGACGAGCAGGGGGAGAGATTCCATCAGGACAAGAAAGAGATGGAGACCAGGTATCAGGGTCGCTGGGACGCAGTCATGATGGCTGACTACTGTTGGACTCTGAAGAGAGACCTCTGCCGCTGAGCATTCCAGGAGTTCCAAGAAACGGAAGTTCAAGCCCTGAAGTTTGAAAAATGGTGAAGCAACATGCAATTTACATGTACTTACCTTTATCAATGCCCACCATTCAGTTTACAGTAAACCTGACCTGATGGAGAGAAACGGATGCCATTTCTTGATTCAGCAGTGCAAAAATACCCCAAATCAGTTGTAGAAATCTAGACAACATTCAAAAAGTAAAAAATTGTTGCCTAGTGTTATTTATTTATTTAACAAAATTTATATATTGCACATAAAACCACTAAGTGGTGATGCCAATCAATATTCCATTATTGCATCCATCAAAATTTATTTGCACTGTTGAATTTATCTTAAAGCTGCCATCATTTTTATTATTATTATTATTATTATTATTATTATTATTATTATTATTTCTACCCTGCCCATCTGGCTGGGTTTCCCCAGCCACTCTGGGCAGCTTCCAACATAAGGTTAAAAATGCATTAAAACATCAGTCTTAATGAGGTCCAGCACCGAGGGCCTTGTGGCAGTTCCCTCGCTGCGAGAAGCCAAGTTACAGGGAACCAGGCAGAGGGCCTTCTTGGTAGTGGCACCCGCCCTGTGGAACGCCCTCCCACCAGATGTCAAAGAGAAAAATAACTACCAAACTTTTAGAAGACATCTGAAGGCAGCCCTGTTTAGGGAAGTTTTTAATGTTTAATAGGTTATTGTATTTTAGTGTTTTGTTGGAAGCCGCCCAGAGTGGCTGGGAAACCCAGCCAGATGGGCGGGGTATAAATAATAAATTATATTATTATTATTAGTCATTAAAAACTTCCCTAAACAGGGCTGCCTTCAGACGTCTTCTAAATGTCAGATAGTTGTTTATTTCTTTGACATCTGATGGGAGGGCATTCCACAGGGCGGGTGCCACTACCAAGAAGCTCCTCTGCCTGGTTCCCTGTAACAGAAGGCCCTCAGAGCTGGACCTCAGTGTCCAGCTTGAACGATGGGGGTGGAGACGCTCCTTCAGGTATACTGGGCAGAGGCAAGGTTTGTAAAGATGGTGGTGGAGACATGGAGATACACATATGCTACTGAAAAAGGTCATCAGCAAAAGTGACCTCATTTCACACAATGCCCTGTTTTAGGGGAAACATCTTGCCATAGCAAACACAGAAGTACAGTGGTACCTCGGTTTAAGTACTTAATTCGTTCCGGAGGTCTGTTCTTAACCTGAAACTGTTCTTAACCTGAAGCACCACTTTAGCTAATGGAGCCTCCCGCTGCCGCCAAAGCACAATTTCTGTTCTCATCCTGAAGCAAAGTTCTTAACCTGAAGCACTATTTCTGGGTTAGTGGAGTCTGTAACCTGAAGCGTATGTAACCTGAAGCGTATGTAACCTGAGGTACCACTGTACAACTGGATGTTTTCATCACTCTCTGCATGTCCCTTGGAAAAAGCTCCAAAAGCAGGGCCATTTTCATTTTGCCTTGACCCAGCTGTTTGCACACAGTCCACAACAGCTGACTAAGTTACGTCCCAGCCCCACGTATGAGATTCCCATTCAAGCCCCAAAGTCCCTGACAAGTGCAGCTGTCTATGCTTGTAGAAAAACCTCTCCCTTGCCCATTATGGAGACTTGATACCATTGTATCATGCTACACTACACATCAGATCTAATTTTTTTTATTGCCAGGAAACGCTCTGCTGCAGCACGTGGTTCAATTATTTCCATGTCAAAGCATGACTTAATCGATTTCGTATATGCTTATAGAAAATATGAGCCCTCTCTGTGCCCAGGGGAGCAAATCAAAACCTTAGAATGAAACGACAGGGCCGTATTTCAACAGATATCATATTAAAGCAGAGTTATATGGGCCTTTGGAGAGTGGAAGGGTCTTGCTATGATAAATGATCAGCCTTTTTAAACTGTCTGTTTCCAGGATCATTCCAGCACTCATGTGACTGCACTGTTCTTTCTCTCATTTAATTTTGACAGGAAATATTTTGGGTCAGCTATGTGTAGTTTATAAGGCCTCTTCAGACTTGGTCCTTTGGAGGGAAGCTGTTTATACAATGCTAGAGCATTATTATCACTGAGGATAGCAACTCAGTGGGGGGGAAAGAAGGCTAAAAGCAGTCCTTTTTTCCTAAAAATAATAATAAATGTTTAGGGGTACTCTCATTTTGACTCAAGAAAATCACCATTTTATAGTTCAAATTGGGAAAAAGAAATACAGTAAATGGACAAAAGTACAAAGATTCACAAAATGTTTCGGGGTATGCGTACCCCTGTGTCCCCCAAGAAAAAAAAGCACTGGCTAAAAGTATTCCCTCCCATAGTGTAGGGACACAAAGCTTGTGGCCCTCTAAATGGATAGCTCAGTTGGTACAGCCTGAGGCTCCTAATCTCAGGGTTGTGGGTTTGAGTCCCACCCAGGGCAAAATGTTCCTGGGTGGAATCTACACACATATTTTTAAAAGTTCTGGAAATGCTTTTTAAAAAAAATACATTGAATTTTCCATAAGGTTCACCATCGCCATCTAGTGTCACATTGTATATTGCACTTAAAGCCCACTTAAAATGTTTTATTTGCCTCTGTATACCTGAGCCCTTGCATTGTAGGGGGATGGACTAAATGACCAGATTACCCTCTACAATTCTATTGTTCTATGTTGTTCAGCTATGGTCACATCTGTGCCACTATAATGTCACTTTAAACAGACATGGCTTGTCCCAAAGAATTCTGGGAGCTACAGAATTTCAATTCTCTATGAAGAGGAATTGACTGTTAAACCATGCTGGAAATTGTAGCTCTGGGAGTGGAATAGGGGTCGCCTCATCATTCTCAGCACCCTTAGCAAACTACAGCTGCCATAATTCTTTGGAGGAAGCCATGATAGTGCTTTAAATGTATGGTGTGAATGTAGCCTACAGCTCCCATCCACCCTGATGACTGGCCTTGGACTGATGGGAGTTAACTGTTGATGTTCTCTGCCCTCTTGTGTGGTGTTTAACTTCAGATCATGTGAGAGAGGTTTGTTGTTGTTGTTTAGTCATTTATTCGTGTCCGACTCTTCATGACCCCATGGACCAGAGCACGCCAGGCGCTCCTGTCTTCCACGGCCTCCTGCAGTTTGGTCAAACTCATGTTAGTAGCTTTGAGAACCATCTTGTCCTCTGTTGTCCCCATCTCCTTGTGCCCTCAATCTTTCCCAACATCAGGGTCTTTTCCAGTGAGTCTTCTCTTCTCATGAGGTGGCCAAAGTACTGGAGCCTCAGCTTCAGGATCTGTCCTTCCAGTGAGCATTCAGGGCTGATTTCCTTGAGTATGGATAGGTTTGATCTTCTTGCAGTCCATGGGACTCTCAAGAGTCTCCTCCAGCACCATAATTCAAAAGCATCAATTCTTTGGCGATCAGCCTTCTTTATGGTCCAGCTCTCACTTCCATACATCACTGCTGGGAAAACCATGGCTTTAACTACGGTATACGGACCTTTGTCTCTGCTTTTTAAGATGCTGTCTAGGTTTGTCATCGCTTTTCTCCCAAGAGAGAGGTTATTCAGTTGCAAATCGCCATCTTGGGGAGATGGTCTTTGAGGCTTTCTCTGGAAGCCACAGAGCACAAAGGAGGTCATAATGAGGTCTCTCCTGAAGAGAAAACAGCTCCCAGCTAATGAAGGTTGTGGGGAGAGTGAGACGTTTGATTTAAGTCTGTTTGGAGTTATTTCAGATTAGTAAGAAGATGAACCTGTGCTCACACGATATTATACACGCAATCCTTACAGCAACTCTGTGAAGAATGTTAGGCTGAGAGGCAGGGTCTGCCCCAAGGTCACCTGGTGAAATTCATGGCTGAGTGGGGATTTGAACCCTGGTCTGCGTGGTCCTAGTCCGACACAATATCCACTACACCACTCTGGCTCTCTTTAAATGCGTTTTCAGTGTATGGTGTGGATGTGACCTGAGGGAAAACGTGTCAGAGCAAAGCCAGGAGCAGAAAACCAGGAGCCAGGAGTTGTGCCGTTATATCAACAATGGGCAAGCAATGGGTCAAGCCAGGAACTAGAGCCAAGGAACAAAGCCATGAGTCAATGCAAGCCAAGATGCAAACTAGAGCTAGCTGTTGCCCTGGCAAGAACCCAGCCTGAAGAGGAAACCCTTTATATATCTAACACTCTCTCGAAGGACCCATTGACCAGCCTGAATTGGAAAGGCCAACCCAAAGCCTGGAGAAGGTTCTACACCTTTGGAGAAAACTTTACTGGTTGCTTTCCACACAGAGCAAGGGTTCACCATCCTATCCTCATTGTCTCCTGGCAAGAGAGGAAAAAGAGAGGCAAGGAGAACAAGGATGTGGGGTTGGGGAATAAGAGGAGGTTGAAACAATGAATATATGAGGGAAATGTGGAAGCTAGTGTGGCATAGTTGTTAAGAGCGTTGGACTAGGGTTCAAATCCCTATCAGCCACGGAGCTCATTGGGTGTCCTTGGGCCTGTCACTCACTCTCAGCCTAACCTACCTCACAGGGTTGTTGTGAAGGTAAAATGGAGAGGGAGGGAAAGCATGTATTCCACCTCGAGCTCCTTACCAACCAACCAACCAAACAAACAAAAAATATACAGTACACGGTAAAGAAATTGAAGGATGTTGGGGTCTTGCAGGTTGGGGTACAAATGTGTTTTGGGTTTGCATGTTGGTGACGTCTCAGCTTTAAAAAAAAGAGCTCCACAAGGCACATGAACACACCTAGGTGCTGGACTGAGCAGGGGAACCATTTGTGCGTGTGCTTCCTCATCTAAGTTATGGATGCACATGCAGAATCCTGCGTGAGGTGAACCTTCCTAGGGAAGACAGGGGAGCAGGCGTCTATGGTTCTATGATTCCACATGCATGTTGTCACTATGCATGAGGCACGAGATGGCAAAGTGGTATGAATGAGGTAAACTGAGAACCTATTATGCATGGTTTGATCGGCAGAAATGGATTGCAGATTTTGGCATCTGGTACACACACACACACACACACACACACACACCATTTTCCTATTTCCACCCTTAGAAACTCAAGCCCAAGCAAAATTTATTGTTTGTCCTTTTCACCAGAATTAGCAAAATCCGCTAGATGGCAGCACACCCTAAAATACTCATTGCCAGCCTCTTCCCTGTCATATTGACTCAGCCCCATGCCCCCACCATAATTGTACTACTGTATGGATCAGGGGTCAGCAAGCTTTTTCAGCCGTGGGCCAGTCCACCGTCCCTCAGACCATGTGGTGGGCCGGACTATATTCTGGGGAAAAAAAGGGTCTGTTTTGTTCTGTAAAAACGCTCCACTCTTTAGGCATGCAATCTGCAGGGAAGTGGGTTGGTTGTACAAGAGTGTTTAACCCGCTTTAATTGCATGTTCACACCCAGAAACCTCCCCCCTAAATAAAATTCACACTTGACTCAAATTTTTGGTTTGGTTTTTGGCAGAATTTAGGCCACAACTTTATTGATTACAGAAAGTGACTGGTTGCATAGGCTCTGGTTCGACTAGCTCCCTGCCATGCAGGTAGCGCTGACCCAGGGTTCCAGCATAGGTCAGCCAAGGGTGAACACCTGGATAAGTGGAAAGCCGGGAATGGGCTATCTCCGCCACCCAAATGTCCCCCTGGACTCAGGCACGGGCAAAGCCCCCTCTCGGGTTGACCAAACCATCAAGTCCCTGGATTCCTTTAACGGAATACCCTTCACATAGGGATGGCGAGAGCGTTCTCCCATCCCTATCACCTGAGCCAGAGCCTATCCACAACCTTACAAGTTGTGACGATTTGCTATGCGGCAGGCGAAATCCACATGGCAACAGCCAATCAGCCAAGTGGGGAAAATTCCTGCCTTGCCCCTGTCCCAACGACAGTTGACACATGACGGCATAGCAAGGTCAAGCGCAACAAGCCCTAAAAGCAGGGAGAGGTGCCAAAGGCACACGCCAAAAGAGGAAGCTCTGGGTCATGTGCATGGGCATAAATAGGTCCCTTGAACCATTTGGACTGCGTCCCATTGGCCAGATTGTACCCAGCTTCGAGGGACCTACCAACTGGGTGTTGTGGCTTACCAAATGTACCCACCCACAACACAGGGTGTCGGTTGTCCAGGTCTCACCACAATACGTGCCCTCTTTAAGGGAGGACCCGATCTGCACAACCTGAAACAGCTTTATGAGTCCTGCCAGAAATTAGGTATATAAATACCTTAAATGAAATGAAATGAAATGAATTTGCTGGTATGTGATTGAATACCATCTGAAAATAGCGGAAGTCTGAAAACACGCCCTCAGTGTACAGTATTTGAGTCTGCTTCGTTCTGTTGTGGCTGACTAAACTGCAAGCGACACAAAGCTATTCCTGGAATGAAATAACAGGTGAGAATTGGTCACTTCCATCCCACCACTGGTGATAAACAAGCGATGCTTATGAGCTCTTGCTGTCCTAGGCAAGCTGAGTCATGAAGCCTAACTAGAAGATAAACTGGTAGCTCCCACTTCTGACCCAGAGTGTCCGGTTTCCTTCTTTGTTCTCATAACACCCCCTGAAATAAACTAGCCAAAACCAAGGCAGCTGGACTATTTTGAGCTTATGAAAGGGAGAGAGCGTCCAGAAATAGTGTCAAATATATGTCACAGTTTCTTCTCCTTGCGTCTCGTTTTATAGGCATTGCTGGCAAGATTTCTAAAATGGCCGCCTTCGCATATGAGAAAGCTGGCTTATATCAATTTAGACCATTGGTCCGCCTAGCTCAGTGCTGTCTGCATTAACTGATAGTGGAACTCCATCCAGGGTTTCAAACAAGAGTCTTTCCCAACCTGGAAATGCTGGGGATTTTGCTCGAGACCTTCTGTGTGCAAGAGCACATGCTCTGTCAATCTTTCCGCAAGCCTGTGTATATTTGCTGAGCCACCTTGACAGCCTTCTGGAGAACCTCATCTTTAAAAGTTAGCTTTTTTAAGAAACAGAGGCCAATATTTCAGCAGGACTTGAACATTCCATTATTTTTGTCTTGAGTAAAAACGAGGAACCACTTTTTTGTGCAGGAAAACGGTTTCCTTCGAGGAAATTAAAACAAAAGTAACTTGAAGGCCAGAAAACATAGCTTCTGTATTTATTCAGGGCTTCTGTATTTATTTAAGACAGTCCTAAGACAATTTTCACCTTTTAGTCAACCCTTATAATGATTTTTTTAAAAAACAACAACCTAAAAGCACAAGAACCAAAACAGGATTGATAGTAGCCACATATGAACCAACATCAAGCATAAGGGATGATTCACTTTAGGATTTGTGTTAGTCAGGTGCTACTGTGCGTCTATTATATAAAGTGCATGATTTAGAATGAGCTTTCCCCACTCTGTACTCATGCACAGAGGCAAGGTCCCAATCCATTCTTGATTGCCAGTGGTAAA